ACACACACACACACACACATAAATAAATAAAATTTAAAAAAAAATAAAATAAAATAAAAAAAAATAAAAAGAAACTGCCCTGTCCATTTGTTAATGAGAATTTATACAATTTGTCATATCCCAAACAACTTTCCAATTTTATTTATGTCTGATTTGGCTAGATACAAACATGGCTGGCACTAGATAGTTCATTATTTTAGAATAAATTAATGATACTGCTGTGCTTGGAAAAGATTAATATAGCACAGCATTTTAGGTGGCTGGGTGAGCATTAAGTTTTTTGTTGTTTAAAAAAAATCCTTGGGGCTGGTGAGATGGCTCAGTGGTCTAAAGCACCTACTTGGAACAAGCTTAGCAAGGGAACATGGTTCAATCCCCCAGCACCACATGCCAGCTAGCCCCACCCCCTGGTGGGCTGAGCTGGCCACACACACACACACACACACACACACACACAAAATAAATAAACAATTTTTAAAAATCCTGTTACACTCATTTTTTCGTGCTTATAACAGCAAATTGGGAGTTTAGGGCCTTATTCCCAATCACTACTAGGAAGTTGATAAACTGTTCATCAGCTATATTTTCAAACTGATTTTCTGCATGTCCCTTAAATTCATTGACAATGTAAGATTCCCAAGCCAGAATAGTCACAAAAGAGTAGGACATCTCATCCTTAAAAATTCCCCCTAGAAAGAGGTTTGTACCTATGTTATTTGCTTATTATTTCTTGCCTATATCTTGTAATATGAGAAACTACTTTGGCAGTAACAATACACAATGTACTAACCATTGTTACTCTCCTAAAATCATCTTTTCAGATGTTGTACCATTGTTTTTATTTCTTTTATTTTAATAAAAATAACTGATGTCAAAAAAAAAAAATTCCCCCTAGAGACAAAGCTACTTCAATCTCATGTTTTCCCACCTTTTACATTAGTCCCCAACTGGTGGAAACAGTACCCTCCCTAGTAGATAAGCCTAAATTAAAAGGAAACTGTTTTACTTTGATCAAATTCCATATATAGCTATATGAGCCATTAAGTGTGAGTTTCTCACTAAAATTACTTTTCAAATGCATAATGCTGCAAAACTGTTACTGCTAATAATGTTTACTCTAGTCCAGTGGTCCTCAAAGTGTGCTCCTGACCAACAGCATCAGCACCAGGTCACCTGGGACCTTCTTACTGCAGGGCCCCATCTCCAATGAGGTAAATGGGACGCATAGGCTGGGGCCCAGTAAACTGGTGTTTTAACAAGCCCTGCAGGTGATGATTCTGATGTACATTACAGATCATTAATGCTTTGATTTGATTTTCTTGGCACTTGCAGGAGCTGGGAGTTGCTGGCAGCTACAGTATTCTAGATGAGGAAATATTTCTCTATGGACATTTCTGGTAAATTGTTTAAAAAGGACTCAGAAAAAAGAGCTTCAAGGACCCAGTAATTTGTTTCCTGTCCTCCCTTCAATGCTCACTTTCCTATTTTTTCCTAATAATTTTTAAGTGTGCGTTTCAGGACACAGATCTAACCAGACCTCTGCGATTTGTTTTTAAAGTAACAGAGCCCGCCCGAGTTAGGATATTTTAATATGATCTGTTGCCGAACAATGACTTCGATTTAATTATCGTTTTCCTTTGACTCTGGTACACTGTGTCCTAAATGTCCGAGACTGGTTACTCTGCGCTGCGTCCGGAGCAGAGAGGGAAGAAGGGCGCACGTCCCGGAGTAGCTCGAGGTGACAGGAACGTGGAGGGGGGGGGGGAGACTGAGGAGAAGCCACGCTTCGGGCTCGCGGGGGAGGCGCTCGAGGAGCCGCGGCAGCCCGAGTTCCAGCCTCCTCCTACCTGAGCAGATCCTGGCTGAGCTGCTCCGACACCATCGCCTTCAGCCGGCGCCGCTCACAGGGGCCCTTCCTTTGCAACCCCTTACTGCCAACTCCCGGGGACCCCAGGGGTACCGCGGGGAGCGCGCCGCCCCCCTCACGGCGGGCCATATCCCACTCAAGTACAGTGGCGCGGCCAGGCGCGGCACCCTCCCGGCCTACAAGGAAGAAGGGGGCGTTTCCGACCGAACGGCTGGCTCCTATCCAAATTTGCGCTCTGAGAGAAAAGGTTGACGCCCCTTCGTCGCCGCGGCCGCCCCGCAGCCCTCAGGTACTCTCCGGGCCGCGGACTGCACAGCCACGTGACGCGCCAGGCGGCGCGCAGGCGCAGTCGCCCTGTTTACGCGGGCCGCGCGGGCGCCGCTCTTGTTGCCCAGGGAGACGGGCAAGCTGGTGGGCTTGACTGAGCCCGAGCCCAACCTTCCGGTTGAGGTTAGCCATTCATTTTATTCATTAAAGGCTGAATTCAAATCAATACAAGCGTTGGTAAGCAGCGTCTTCCTAGCCTGTCTGCGTAGTTTTAACGTGAAAGACTGCTTCACGAGAGGCGAGTCACGCCCCCACCTAGGACTGAAAGAATGGAGGTGAAGGCAGAAACTCAAAAGCTCTGGAAGGTCTGACTGACTCATGGAGCTGCTCTTGACTTGAGGCCAAATTATATTACAGTGCTTTAGATGTAAAGCTGTAAAATTTATGTCCGGGAAAATAGAAGAAATTTAGGGGAGTTGGAAGCTAATAGTCTTCCCAACCTGGAAATGGAAAGGTGGCGGAGGAACTACAAGATATTAAAATTTAAATATTCCGTCTGCAATGAAGTAGATGGGATGAGTATCATTTCGGTCTTTCAGTTCAGTATTTGATAACTTTGTCCAAAAAAAGAAACAAGAAAACTCAATAGTTGACTTTATTCATAAGCTCTGTACAAGGCAATAACTGTGTAGAAAATAAATGGACATAAAGTTGGGCAAGAGGTACTTCTCCAATGCCGCCTTTCAAGTAGTGTATTCATAGACCTAACATCCGAATGCTTACTATGTGGTTTCACTGTTCTTCCTTCTCTGTATGTATTAATCCTTACAAGAGCCATGTAGGTAGCTGCTACTGCCCTATGCACTGACGTACAGGTGAGGAAGCTGAAGCATTGAGAGAGTAAATAACTTGGCCAACATCGCACAACCAGAAAGTGGATGCTTAGCGTTAAACCTGGGCCTGTATACCTTTTCCCTGACAGATTTAGAACACTTACATAACCCTGTGACAATGTATACTGTTGCAAGCATTATGGAAAATAGTATGGTGTTTCTTCAAAAGATTTGTAATAGCGCTTGCACATGATTAGCAATCGCTCTTCTAGGTATATACCCCGAGGAAATGAAGTCAGCCCCTCCTAGAGACAACTGCCCTCCTATGTTCACTGCAGCATTATTCACAACAGACAAAATCTGGAAACAAGCTAAGTGTCTGTGGTCAGATAAAATCCAAAATACAGCATGCAGAATGGTAGCTGAGGGTGAGGGTGGGGAGAAGTGGGTCAGAGTACAGAGTTATATAACATTTATAAAGACTGATGTAAATAATGGAGATCTAATAATATTGGACTAATAGAAATTTGCCAAGAGCAAATTTTAGGTGTTCCCACCCAAAAAAGAAAACCAGCATAAGATATGTGTTTGTACCATGATGAATGTGTTATGTGTCACAAACAAGTACTAATAAAAAATAAAATTATGAGCTGGGCGTGGTGGCAAGTGCCTGTAATGCCATTACTCAGGAAGCTGAGACAGGGGGGGTTGCTGTGAGTTCGAGATTAGCCTGGCCTACAAAGTGAGCTCACAAAAACAAAATAACAACAAAAAAAGTGTAGTCAAGGCCAGCCTGAACTGTGCATAGTGAGACCCTATTTCAAAAAGATTTAATTAAAAAAAATTTTTTAAATGTGTAATTAATGGTGGTGTTACATTTTATTTTTTATTTTTAATGTATTTAGTACAGGGTCTACAGGGTCTCACTACACAGCTGGGACTCATAGTAATCCTCCTGTTTTCAGCCTCCCAAGCGCTGGGATAACAAACATGTGCTACCACACCCAGTCTTTTTTTTTTAAATATTTATTTATTTATTCGTGTGTGTGTGTGTGTGTGTGTATGTGTGTGTGTGTGTGTGACCAGCTCAGCCCACCAGGGGGCGGGGCTGGCTGGCATGTGGTGCTGGGGGATTGAACCGCGGTCCCTGTGCTTTGCTAAGCTTGTTCTAAGTAGATGCTTTAGACCACTGAGCCATCTCACCAGCCCCCTTTTTTAATTTTTTTTTTTTAATTTTAACATTTATTGTGTGTGTGTGTTTGTGTGTGTGGCCAGCTCAGCCCACCAGGGGGCGGGGCTGGCTGGAATGTGGTGCTGGGGGATTGAACCGCGGTCCATGTGCATTGCCAAGCTTGTTCCAAGTAGGTGCTTTAGACCACTGAGCCATCTCTCCAGCCCCACACACCCAGTCTTAATAGCTGTCTCAGTGTGCCCTGGGGGTGGCCAGCATGGCACACTGGGGATCGAACCGGCTGCTATGCTGTGCCTAAGCAGGAATTTTAGTCCGCTGAGCTATCTGGGCAGCCCTGGTGTTACAGTTTAGATCTGGGATGTCTCCTAGAAACTTCATGTGTCCGAAAAGTGGTTGGATCGTGGAGGCACATTAATGCACTGTTGAATCTATAGCTAAATGTGCTGTTGGGAGATGAGATCCAGTCAGAAGAGGCAGCTCCCTAGGGTCATGACCTGGAAGCCCCATATCTTTCTTGCAGGTTTCTGCTTCTCCCTCCCTCCCTCCCTCCCTCCCTCCCCCACTCTTCCCCGTTTCCCCCTTTCCTCTCTTTGCCCCCTCCCTTCCCCCCTCCCCCTCCCCCTCTCGCTCTCCCTCTCCCCCTCTACCATAAATAAGTAGGGAATGGGTAACAGGATGATTTTTGGTCTTTTTTCTTTTTTTGTATTTTAGGGAAGGGTCTACAGGGTACTCAGGGTCTCACTACTAAGTTGAACTCGTAGTGATTCTCCTGTTTACCTGGGATTATAGATGCGTGCCCAGTCTCAATTGTCATCTCAGTATGCCTTGGGGGGGGGGGCCGACAAGGCAGGCTCAGGGATCAAGCCCCTGGCCCCTGAGCCTGCTTGCAGGACTTTAATCTGCTGAGCAATATTTGGTCTGCCTGATTTTTGGTCATTTAATTTAATTTGTTATAAATTACCTGAAATAGTTTAGACAGGTATGTGAGATGATTAAAAAATACATATCTCTTTAAAATACAAAACAGGAGCTGAGAGTGTACCTCAGTGGTAGTGCTCAGATTACATAAGGACCAAAGTTTACCACCCAAAAAAATCCTACCAGTGTTGATTCACTTTCTGCCTTTAGAGGTTTTTCTTCTGAAAGCATTATTTCTGTTTCAATGTTTGTCCTGCAGTCATTTACAGCAATGTCAATTTATTTCTTCAAAGACTTTTTGATCTGGAGGAAGAGTCCTAAGGAACTAGCAATGGGAGTTCTGAAGAGAAACCCTATAATTTTCTTCGGAAATATTCTTAACTATGATTCTTATGTATGAAAAATAAATTCAGGTAAAATTGCCTTAGAAGGAAGGAAACTTCTTCCAGGGATGCCAAATCTTGAAAGCAAATTGATTATGTTTCCAATTTTCAAGTTTTTTGACATCCAACAATAAAAGAGCTTTGCTTTTTATACTGGGTATTGAGCCCAGGTCCTTCACATCAAACCACATTCCCAGCCCTTTTCATTTTTAAGATGGTCTTGCTGAATTGCCCAGCTAATTAATCCCTCTCAAGGAGCTGAAATTATAGGCATGTGCCACTATGCTTGGCTTATTTTTCCTTTCAAAAATATTTTGACTGAACATGTTTCAAATATACAAAAGCAATTCGGTTAGTCAGCTTTCTTGTATCTGTGACCAGACACCCACAACTTAAAGGAGGAAAGTTTGAGATTGGCTCTTGGCTTCAGGGGACTTAGTCCATGGTCTGTTAGAGACCACAAATTATAAATTGAGTCTAGAGGATGTCTAAGGCTGCCGTTGTCCTGCCCTAGAAGCTGGGCTGGAACATGGAAACTCTGCTTTCTCCTGGTCACAGCTGAAGCCCTGTGCTAGTGGCTGAACACATGCACAATAACATCCCCTCCTTAAAGATGTAGATGTTGGACATTAAATCCAAGAGACTAGAAAGTGGATAAGACAGCTCTGTTCTTGGAGGTACTGAATTTTTAAAGTTTATATACAATGAAACTAAGTTGAGGCTATGGTAGCTCTGGGTAGTGAGGCATATTTATTGGTTCATATTCACTTTCATGTATAGATAGATTTTTCTTCTCCTGGTACAGGTATGGTTTCCAGGAATATAATACTTTGCTGGTTCATTCTGCCTGGTGATATTAAAGGGTAGTGTTCAAGGTCACATCACCATGTAAAAATATTTTATACCAACAAGAACTAGAAGTATGTAGGAAGTATATACAGAATTATATACCTTGCATATAGGTAAGTAAGAAACTTCAATTCTCACTGTTGCCTCATCAGAACAAAAATAATATTCTCAGAAATGTAAAATGTGCAGTTATTAACATAAAATTTCATTTTGAGACTCATGCAAAATAGAATTTGTTGTAACTCCTGCATTTATAACCGACATTTATATTAGCCAGTTTCCCAGAAATTGTAATCTATTGTGATTTTTTTCTCATTCTAAATAATCATTTTCATGTTTTATAAAAGAAGAGTGGAAAGCCACACCACATTTAACTGTTTCAATGTATTTTCAATATCATATTGACCTGATGTTTCTCATTTTGCCCTGTAAAAAATTTGGGTTATTTTGTGAAAAAGCAAAGAGATATTTATCTACTAGTTCTTTTGCTATAAAGAGTAATTTATTTACTGCCAGTGAGATACCATTTTCATAAAAGGGAAAGGAGCTGATGGGCTATGTTTTTCTGGCCATTCTTTAGCACTAAATAAAATAAAAACACTAACTAGAACCCTGCAGTATAATTAAGGTTTATGTGTAGATCATTTGTCATTGAGGCGATTTTTTTTTTTTTTTGTAAGTAGTAGGCATCAAACCCAAGGCTTCGCACATGCTAGGCACATGTTCTACCACTGAGCTATAGCCCCAGCCACTCTCCTCTACATTGGTTTTTTTGTTTGTTTGTTTGTTTGGTTGGTTGGTTGGTTGGTTGGTTTTTTTGAGTCCAGGTCTTTCTTTCTTGCAAAACAGTCATGCCTCCCCTCAGTCCTTCCTGGGCTGTCACATAGGTGCATGCTACTGTGTCTAGAAAACATTCTTATGAAAGAAGGAAAAGAGATAATCTAAAAATTGAATTGAAATACCCCTTTTAAATATAATAACTAAATGTCTATAGTACTTAAAGTAAAGACGATTGAATTTTTCCTCAAAGGAAAATTTTTATTTCCATGAGAATTTCTACATAGAAGGTACTTTTACCATGTCCAGGGTGGATTGAACATTTCAACACAGTGATTAAGACTGTATTTCTTGTGGTACTTATATATGGGCAGCCTGGAGGTCTAAATATGAAGTAAATAACCTGGCATACACTGGATGCTTCAGGGAAAATTCCCTAAAGGTGTTGTATGAAATGTGTGTTGAGCTCTTTCCAGCTACTTCCTGAAAGAGTCTGGCAACATCAAGATTTGGCACTCCAAAAGCTGCCCGAAGTATAGCAGTGAATTCCTGTTTTGTTATGAAACCATCTTCATCTAGATCAAAAAGCTTAAACGACATTTGCAGAATCTTCTCAGTGTTGGCAGGATTGCACAGGACAGTCAGACCTATCACGTACTCTCTAAAGTCCATGATGCCATCGTTATTCCTATCAAAGAGAGCAAAAAGTTGTCTCAAGGGCTCTGAAATGGGGAGTTTTAGATAACTTGAAAACTCTTCAATTCCTACCTCCTGTCCTTTAGAGGCAACTGCAATTGTAGCATATTCATCCAAATGGTTGTGAACATCATCCCAATCTAATTTTAGTTTGTGGCTAATTTTTGTAAATTCTACCAAACCAGCTTCCATGGGGAGTTGAAGGTTACCCGCAGAAATCATCAGTCTGCAATCTTCGTAAGTGTGGTCAGTCACAGGCACCCCCAAAGCATTTGCCATGTTAATTCGGACTGCATTGGCGAAAAGGAGGGGGTCTTTTTTTTCTTCATCATTTGGGATATAAACAGGCATAAACTCAACCTCTACTCTGGTGAAAGTTTGACTCAGAGTTAACATGCAGGCCTGAAAGCCTGTAAATCCCTGCCAGGTCCAGGTCACTGTGTCCAGGGTATTTGGGTATCTGAGCAGCACTGGCTGCACTGGGACACCTGGAGAGAAGGCTCCTAGCTTAAAAGTGATCAGACAGGAGCGATTGGTACACACACCTTCTGGAAAAATCAGAATCTGTGGCCACTTCCTTCCAGATGTTACTCGCTTCAGTATTTCAGTTCTGGTGTTCTTTCTAGAATCTGGGTCGTCTTGAGTCACAAGTACCGGCTCTGTTAACAGGAGGAGTTTCCCACCTATTGGCACCTGCACATTTTGACTTGCAGAGACCACTGAGGGTAATCCTGCCACAACGCAGGCGATGACATCAAAGAAAGTAGAGTGTGGAGCAGTAACGAAGATACAGGCCTCATCTCGAGTCGCTTTTTTCCCTTTCACTTTAACCATGAACCCAACAAAAAAGATTGCCACCTGAAACAAGAATTTAAGTAGTGGTTTCATCAGATTTTTTCTCCAACTTTTAGTGGGTTCGACACGTTGAGCAGGAAGACCAAAGGTGGAAAGCACAACCACAGGCCAGAGGAGGATGAAGAGGAAGGCGAGGCAGGTCACCCGCATGGGCACCAGTGCAGTCCCCAGGAGGATGGTGCGGGCCCAGCGCCAAGCACTGATGTGTGTCTGCTGCAGGAATGGGTTGGCCACCGCTGGGGCATACAGGGACTGGCTCCTCTCCTGCGTGGTCACAGTCTCCCAGATCTCCGTCTCAGAGTCCACAGGCAGCTCAGCCCTCATGCTGACTTCTCAGTAAACTCAGAATGTGAGCAGCGTGGCTCTGGGGGTGGCCACTAGTATGCACCCCTTCCTCACATTGAAGTACCTTCTGTTTGCACATAGACTTAGAGGGGACTGTGGGTTAATAAATAGAAAATGAGGTATGACCTTTGAAGTCAGAAAAATCAAAGATGGTAAAATTAACAAGCTACTTATAATCATATCAACTGAAAATCATTTTTCCTTTTCTGCAAGCATTCTGCTTTTTTTTAAAAAAAATCATTTTGAGACATGATCTCACTGCACAGTTCAAGCTGGTCTTGAACTCATCTTGTAGTCCAGGCTGATCTTGAACTGGCAACAATCCTCCTGCCTCAGCCTTCCGAGTGCTGGGATTACAGCTGTGTGCCATCCTGCCCCAGCAAACATCCTGCTTTTGACATACATGGCTAACAAGTTATTTTCACATAGCAAATTCTGATATTTATATTATATACATATATATATTAAAGCTATATTAATTTGAATCGATAAAGGTTAATTGCAACTTTTTAATTTAAGTGCCATTACCACTTAAAAATTAGTTACTGCTTTGGCAGATAGTTTGTTAAGTTAATTTACTCTCACTACAAATTGATTTCTATGGAAACAGTTCTCTTTATCCTAAGTTTAACTGATGGCCTTTTGTTATAAGCACTTTTCCACATACTGGAAAACAAGAGTACATTCACTTTAATAGGTCAGCATTGACTTGGGTGTGATGCTGCACTCCTTGGGAGCTACTCAGGAGCTACTCAGAAAGGTGCTCAGAAAGAGAATCACAAATTCAAGGTCAGTCTGGGCAACTGAGGGAAACCCTGACTTAAAATAAATAGGCCAGAACTGGCCATGATACATTTGATTTTGTGTGTGTGTGTGTGTGTGTGTGTGTGTGTGTGCACGCGCGCACACATGCGCACGCATGCAGGCGTGTACATGTTACTAAAAATTGAAGTCAAGGTCTTCGCACTTAGCTATATCCTCAGCCACCATTTTTTATGTTGAGACAAGGTCCTGATAAATTGCCCAGGCTGGTCTGGAATTAGTGATCATCCTGCCTCAGCTTCCCAGAGTGCTAGGATTATAGGTTTACATCACCATGCCCACCTTTGGTTCATATTCTTAAAATTGTTCCAGATGAATCAATAACCATTCGAAAATGACAGGACAATAGTAACAAACCTCAAAATTAATTTAATAGTAGGTTTTCATTAAAATAAGTCAGAATTACTTCTTCGTAGTGCCAATACACATAATGAACAAGTCATGGTTTTTCTTTTCTTTTTTCTGCTCTTCAAAAATGATAAAGAGGGAAACACAAGAAATCAAAGTTGGTGTGAACCAGGCTGTATTCTATACCTTTTATACCAGAATTGCATTTGCAGTTCTGACAATGTCATATGAGGGGTTTGTATTTGCTGATTACTAATTTGAATTTCTTATCCCCAGAATGAAAAATCATATTGTAGGTCTCTGAGACATGTTTCTGTTTAGTCCATCTATTGAAGAATACCAGACCACTGTTACCCCAGAAAGCTGGTAAACAAAATGTGATATAAGTGCAAGTTCATGGGCTTTATAGCCAGCTGGATCTTTGACTTGATCCAACGCATACTATGGGCATTGACAAAGTTACTCATTAAACCTCGTGTCCACATCTGTAAATTGGTGATACACCCTACCTTGTAATGTTGTTATGAGACGCCAGTAGAATGTATGTAAAGAATAGAGTTTTTATTGTAAATACAAGTTGCTATGGTATAATGAGAATTCTTAGAGACATTCCACTTTCTTCTGTCACTTTGAGAATCATGCTTAGTGAGGGCAACATTTTTTTCACCAAAATAGGACGAATTTGGTAACTCCATGTGGTCTCTAAAGTGCTGACTTGTCAATATTATTAGTTGTCTTCTGCACCAAAGGGGAGCTCGAGGGAATGAGGAACAGTCCTTTGAACTGATACTGGTTCAAAGCTCTAGTCTGCAGGTCTTCTCACTCTTACTTGCAATGTTCATTTCTACTCTTGTATCTTTAACTGTATTCTGCGTATCGTTTTAAGGAAAAGCTCCATATAACCTTTCCTTTATATTCTCCTACACACAAGGTCTATCTAGCAGTATATCAGATATGAAGTATTATAGTGGTTCTTCTCTATCCACAGTTTCAGTTACCTATGGTCAGCCACAGTTTGAAAATATTAAATGAAAAATTCCAGAAGTAATGCAGGGCTAAGCGTGTTGTCACAAACCTATAATCCTAGCGCTAAGGGGGGTGAGGCAGGAGGCTCTTGATTGAACTCAAGAGCAACTTAGATTACAGAGTAAGTTCCAGGCTAGCCTGGACTACATAACAAGATTTTGTTGGGGAAAACCCCAAAACAATTCATGAGCCTTAAATTGTTCACCAATCTGAGTCATGTGATGACATTTCACACTCTTCAGTTCCATCCTATTGTCCAGCACATCTATCCTCAATAAACTACCTGCTACCCATCAGCTAGTCACTTAGCTGTGTCCACTATCAGATTTTTCTGGTACTGAAGTGCTTGAGTTCCAGTAACCTTTGTTTTATTTAGTTATGGCACCAAGTGCAAGAATAGTGATGCTGTCAATTCGGATAACACCAAAACTGTAAAGTGCTTCCTTTATGTGAAAGGTGAAAGTTTGCAATGTAAAAAAATCATATGCTGAGGTTGCTAGGATCTATTCTGAGAACAAATCTGTCTGTGAAATAGGAAAAAAGAAATTTATGCTAGTTTTGCTATCACACTGGAAAGTGAACAAGAACTAGACACAGTACATGATAAGTGCTTAGGATGGAAAAGGTGTTACTGTGTAAAGTTCCATGTCATCCTTAGTTTTGGACAGCTGCCGGAGGGGGCATCTTAGAGTGTATCTTCTGTGGATAATGAAGACTACTGTATTTATTCATCAAGCAAATATTTGATTGCTTACAGTGTACAAGGCTTTATTCTAGATTCTGGATGTATATTAATAAACAAAACAAAACAAAATCTCTGCCTCGTAGAGCTTAGATTCTAGTGCAGACAGGAAGTACAATAATCAATTCATATTACATTGAATGGAGCAAAAAGACATTTTGACCATTTTCCTAAGTCACCAGTTAAGCTGGAGAATTCAGATAAGTTAGTGGATATGCATCCCTACTCTGCACTGTTTAACAAGTATATATACATAAATATAATACACAAATGGATGCACACATACACATATATGAATGCTCATGTCTCTTAAGTGACATGTGGCAAGATGCCAGTTGCAAGAAACTGTTTTTTTGTATTTTAGGGAAGGGTCTACAGGGTGTTCAGGGTCTCACTACTAGATCGGATTCGTAGCGATCCGGCTGTTTGTGGCCTGCCAAGAGCTGGAATTACAGGTGTGCGCCACCACACCCAGCCTCAATTGCTATCTGGGCATGTCCCTAGGGCGGGACCAGCACTGCAGGCCCTGGGGATCAAACTCCTGGCCCCTGCACCTGCTTTCAAGCACTTTAATCCACTGAGCTATTTGGCCAGCCCTAAGAAACTGTTCAAATTTCCCAATAAAAATAGTACTTACGGCCCATTTTAAGAATATATAGTCATCTAGTTATATTTTCATATATATATGCTTTCATAATTGAATTTTAATGGTTAAAATAGTGCAAAGAACTTTTAAAAAATAAAATTTATACCACTGAAGATTTGTTTTTTAATATGGCACAGCTAATATTTAATCTTGATTTGTAAAAGGCACCTTATGTCGACAAGATAAAGAAAACAAGCCAAAGCTGAGCCATGTTCCCCAATTTCTTTTCTTACAAGTTTGCACAATTTAAGGCAGATATTTTCTGTGTCAGCTACTACAGATGAAAATCAGTGTTCTATCACATGTTCACACATTCACATTTTTCAATATCATTTTCAGGATATTTATTTATAATAAAGCATATTAAAACAGATTTCCCCCTAGCAAAACATAAGATGAATACTTTTTAAAAATTTCAGATTTCATTACAGACCCCACATAGAAGATAAAGAAAACTCAGTCTTTTTTTCTTCTTGTTTCTTCTTTTAGAAATGTCCATATCAGTTTGTTCACTATGTCAGGTTGGTCCTGCTGAAGCCAATGACTGGCTTCTGACAAAATAGTCAATCTGAAATAGTTCTTAACGTATATCTTTGTGACTTCAGCCATCTCTACCTCCATGAACGCATCTTTTTCTCCCCACAGCAGGAGTGTTGGAGTGGTTACCATGTGATGCTTGAGAGGCAGGCAGCTATAAAGAAAACATGTTAGCTTTGAGATTCATTGTAAAAGTTAAAATAACGTTTTCCACAGTGTTCCATGATGGTATGCATTCTCTACCTTCAAAGGGAGCAATAGGACCTCCACAGGGGTCAGTACTGGTTCAGGACAGAGGGAATCTTGCTTTTTATAAAGCATGAGTATACATACAATATATAAACAGATAATAAAATTTCATAGGTGGAGCATGCTTAGGGAAAAATTGTTTATAAAATCTCCTTAAGGAAGTGATAATGAAAAATGGTTGAGAAATAACACATCAGGCAGTCAACCCTGTGCAACAAAATAAAAGGTTATTTAAGAAAGGGGCCAATAAAATTTCAGACTTAATGAGGCTAGCAAAGCTTACAGAGAACAATTGGAAATGAAATTCAGAACTATGAAGAATTTACAGAAGTACTAGAATTTCTGGGTGGTGTGATGAGATATTTATAATCTGTTACTGTTTAAATATAGTTTAAATTATGCGGGATAATCTGATATATTTTATGTGGAAATTGGAGCTGAAAAATCAGAAAATACGCATAGACTGACCTTTAATAGCACATGATACTAGATTTATTTTACAAAAAAGATTCTATTTATTTATTTTTGGCAGAACCAAGGATTGAACTCAAGGCCCTTGCTCTTGCCAGGGAAGCACTTATTCCACTGAGCCATCTCCCCAGCCCCAAAGATTCTTTTTATAACAAAGTATTTATTGTGTAATTTCTTTTTTAAAAAAATATTTTATTTATTTGGTCTTGCTACATAGCTCCGACTTGCAGTGATCCTCTTGT